TCCAGCCTTCCTGGACTCCTTTGCCCTTCAGGACTGCCTCCCAAGGGACTCTGTTAACCAGACTCCTAAACAATCCAAAGTCTGCCCTTCTAAAGTCCAGGGTAGCGGTTTTGCTGACCCCCTTCCTTACTTCTCCAAGAATCGAAAACTCTATCATTTCATGGTCACTGAACCCACTGGCCTCCGAACACCACATCGCCCACCAGGCCCTCTCTATTCGTAAACAGCAGATCCAGCGGGGCGCCTCCCCAGGTTGGCTCGCTTACCAGCTGCGTCAGGAAGTTATATCTTCCACGCGCTCCAGGAACCTCCGAGACTGCTTTCTCTCTGCTGTGTTGTATTTCCAGCAGATATCTGGTAAGTTGAAGTCTCCCACGAGAACAGGGGCTAGAGATTGTGAGACTTCAGCCAACTGCATGTAGAATACTTCATCTGTTTCCTCATCCTGGTTGGGTGGTCTATAACAGACTCCCACCAGGAGATCTGCCTTGTTGGCCTTCCCCCTGATCTTCACCCATAAGCACTCAACCTTATCATTATCTCCGTTGAGCTCTAGACAATCAAAACACTCTCTAACGTACAAGGCTACCCCACCATTATCCTAATGGTGAATCATGTGGCATTGTTTACTGTAAATATTTTATTATTTAAGAGAAAAAATAGTAAAGAAAGCAAATATACACTTTTAGAGGCACATTCCTGGGGATTCCTGCGTCTTGCATTGCACCTGGGCAGCCGTTGGTTTGTATTCAGAGCTTCCACCGGTGAGGGATGTTAACTCTGATGTAGCTGTGCACCCGCCGAAGGAGGGGACCTGGCCTCCTCCTCCCCAAGGCACTGGCTTAGGTCTCACTGAGCTACCGTACAACATGCAAAAAAATGATTCTTAATCATCAGCAGGCTAGAAAATGAATGTACATTTGCTATGGCAGTTTACCTGCACAGAAGCTGTAGGATCATTTTTCTGCCTGATTATGGAAAATGGGAATATCCTTTATTAGGAAAATTGTACTAGAGGACAAAGACACCCATTTTTGTCTTCAATAGCCAAGCACACTTTGCTTTTAGATTAGTTTTGCTTGGAGGCATCCAGGGCCAAAATTTGCAAAGGACTGTCTACATTTGTGCTTGGAATGATTAGTGCAATTAATCATATAGGCTCTGCGGTCCTGGGCACAGTGGGACTGGGACACTGCCCTGTTGTTTCTTATCTGTGGATATTCAGCATGTGCAGTTATTCATGGATTGCAAGGCTGTATGATGATGTTCCTCTAAGCACCTTGTATATGGGAGAGTGTGTGTGTGTACTGTGCAAAGCTTGTGACTCAACATGAAAATGCCATAGTGACCTGTATGGTAGGATAGTTACCATACAGTAAACAATATCCAGACTGAAAAACTGGATTTTAGGTTTTTTTCTTTTTTTTTTAGTTATGCAGAAGTTCGAGCTGAAAGAAGGCGAGATCTTGGCCTTGAAGAGTCATCAATTGAACTGGCATCCTCTTCTCTAAAGGTACCATGTCCCTTCACAGTTGAGTGAGTAGGTGTTTACACTGAGTAATCGCTTACCAGTCTTAGGAAGATCTTTCTGTTCTTTCTTCTTCTCCTTTACTCCCATCTCCTTCCAAGCCTTCCGTTGGGTCATAACCCAACTCAGGCAGACCCTGAGAAAGTTTTCCACTGCATGGCTCTAAACTGCCCATCTTGGTTCAGGCATAGAACTGCAAATTCAGCGGTTGCATTGCTGCTGTTCTGTTCATTATCTTCCTGAGACCGTTACACAAACAATAGGTGAAACCACCCCAGTTCAGAAGCAGAAGAGTAGAGCTGGAGCTGGAGGCGAGATTGCTGTACCTGTCACCTGTGCCTCTGTAAGGCACAGAGGATCCAAGCGCAGGGCAGTACCACATGGTATCTGTTTTGTTTATGCCAGCTCATCGCTGACACTCAAACAAAGATTGGAAGTGAAGGGAAAACTCTTATTCTTATTCCACATTTCAGCTCCGTTTACACCATTGGGCAGGATCGCATCAAGTGTAGGATTGTGACCAGAGCAGTAATTTCCATGGCTTAAATCAGCCTGGCATCCCAACACACCTGCCTAATTAACAAGGTCATTTTCATTACTTCCAAGATCTTCCTCTCAGTAGTGTACAAATAAGACCAGTAATCAAAGTCATTTCAAGTGGATTGTTGTGTAATTATCATTCCATTAGCCTCATTGCTCTTCAGACATTACTTTATAGAAGCCGTTTATGGGATGTATAGGGGAAGCTGTCCCAGAGACGTTTTGCACTTGAGCAAGGACCGTCTTGCAAACAGCCATTCTCTGTCACCACAGCACACATTTGTGTCTTTTTCCCCTTTCCACATGATAGCTGAGCTATTTTTCTGCAGACCTTAAGCTGCATCTGTTGATGTAACGCAGCTGGAGGAGAGGCAAAGTGATCACTCCCTTTGCTTGATCGTCTGGAGGGGAATGGGAAGCTGGGGAGCTCCCTGGGAGGTGTGGGGAGGGTGGTGGCACAGCCAGCGTGATCACCCACGTCCTCCAGGTGAAAGTCTCCTGCTACCCAACAGTTATGGGCTGTTTGCCATAAATCATCTGCCAGGTGGCATCTGTCAGTTTGGTGTGACGGCTCCAAAGCTGTTAATATTCTCTAGCTTCGGCTGTTCCCCTCTGCGGATGTGCTGCCAGGTTCCTGCCTAGAGCAGCCTGCTGGGAGCGACTGCTCCCCAGGGAGCGGCGAGCGGGATTGCAGCTCTCAGCGTTGCCCAGTACCTGTCCCCCTCAGGAGCCATTTGCTGTAGGTTCTCCTAGGGCTGCAGCTGATGTCCCCATGCCACTGCTCCATGTCCCTTCCCAGCCATCTCTCTTCATCTCTGCAATGAATAAAACCATTCCCCAGCCAACCCCTCCTGCTACCTTCATTCGTTGCCTCTGCCACCACTCCCCAGTGTGACCCAGACAACGAACTGTGACATCCCTGAAGAAATCGGGCAGAAGGAAGCTAATTATAAAAGCATATTTCCATTTGCATACGGCTTCGCGGGCAGGAGGGTGGCACACCAGAGCACGGGGCACAGGCAGCAATCCCCACAGCATTCACCCAATGCACGGTGCGTCCCCTCCACTGCCGCTCACTGCCATCAGACGGGTGTCCCGGGACAGAAATGTGTGGCATCGCCCCAAACCCAGGGGTGCCTGGGGTGTGATCCTGAGGGTCCTGTCTGCACGAGGATACCTGAAGGCTTTAGGGTGAACACTGAGGGGCTGATTGAATACTGCAGCGGGTTTTGGTGATGTGGTGCTGCAGTGCTGACCCTCTACACACCCAGTCTGTTATTTTTCTCTGCAAACAAGTGGTCAGGGAGGTGGAGGTCCCCTCTAACACCATCCTCTCCTGCTGACGGTCTTGCCGCTTGTGCTTCACTCCCCGCAGAGCCACAGCAGCTACCTGGATGTGGGCCAGTGCAGCAGCAGCCAGGACGCCAGCCGGGAGGGAGTGTCGCTGTCGTCCCACAGCTCCCGTCGCTCCTCGCACACCGCCCTCTCCGACTCCGCATGTAGGTGCCAGTGTGGCCGGGGGCAACCCAGCACGGGGGCGAGGAGCGGGCTGGAGGGCAGAGCAGCCTCCAGAATACCGGGGTTCGACTGGGAGTGACGGAGTCAGGGCGGGAGGGGGGTGCTCAGCACCAGGACCGACGTACTGTGCCGTAACAAGTTATGGTACGGCAGCAGAGCCGCAGCCACGTGCTGCCTCCTCCCTCTTAGCCCACTGCCAAGGTGAGAGCAGCTTTCTACCACCTAAAGGTTGTGGCTGTTTTCTGTGGCTCAGGGGACAGGAGGTGACTCACTAAGCTGAAGCAATCTGATTGAGCCTCGAACCTTGACAAAACTTTTATTATGGGGTGGTTTGGCCCCTGACGATAAACCCCTGCAGAAGGAGTGCAGAAGGCTGCCGGCCTTGCTGGCAGCTTCATACCAGCTCCCACAAGTGCCCCTGTCCTGGGGGCCGTAGCGAGGTGACCGCAGTGCCCGTGCGTGGCTGCAGGTAGGAGCCAAGTCAGGGGGCTTTTCTTGAAATACTTGCCAGGGGGAGAGTGGGAAAGCTCATCTGGAGACACCCATGGAGGGAAGGCTGAACCTGGGCGTTAGCATCAGAAGGGAACCCTGCGAGTCAGGCAGAGAGCCAGAGGGACCACGGAGGGGCAGTTTGGGGACCCAGTTTGGCAGCATTTGGGTCTCTGCTCATCTGCATACGCAGAGTTTGGGCTTGGCCAGGGTACCGGGCATGGGTCTGCTGTATCACAGTAAACCATCTCTTTTCCAGCCACGTCATCCACACGACACACGGATACCAGCACGCCCACCCGGTCGTCGGTGCCGGGGGGGCAGGCAGAGAAGGCAGCCCTACGGCTGGCATCGTCTGGAAGCACTCAGGTCAGTGGTTCCTGCGAAAGGCTTGAAAGGCTTTTGCCTTTCTGATGCCATAAAGAAATGAGCTTGACAAACCTTGGTCTTGCCCTCAGAGAGGCTGGATCCCCACCTCTGAGCGTTCTGGGCCTGAGCACGGGATTTCCCGGGGCTGTGGGGAACGTGGCTGGCCAGCAGAGCCGGTGGAGAGCTGCTAGAGGCTCCTCTGCTGCCTCCTTTCAGGATTCAGTTTGCTCCTCCAGGCCAAACACCTTCTCACACCGTGAGCCTGCTTTTCTTAGGGTTTGTACACATGAAATGACCTTTATCTAGAAAAGGATGCTGACACTGGGGATTTGCAATTAGCAGGGGGCCTGCAGGGGCTTAAATTCTCCCTTCAGACTCATCCTCAGATCGCCACATGGAGTTGTCTAAATTCCCTGCTCTTGTTCATTACCGCTATGAGCTGGTATCGCACCAACTCTGCACTAGAGGTGCTATGGACCTACAGTAAGGCAAAGTTTTCATTTCTAGGCCATAGCAACTCCTCAAGCCCCTGGTGAACACCTCCCTCAGCATCCCGTGGCTCAGCCGGCAGTCCCCTCTCAGCACACTGTGATGGTATGTCGTTTATTTTTGTTAAACGCACTGGTATGGCCAGTCAGCGAGGCAAACTCGGTTCACTGCTCTTACCTCCTTGCTGGCTGGTCCCAGTGTGGGGGCAAGGTTTCGGTGCCCTCTCTGTTGCTGTTACTGAGATTTACGTGCAACCAAATTATTGCAACTGCTTATTTCAGCGAGGAGACAGCAGGAAGGAACCCCCAAAGAAATAGCTTAGAAGAAGGTTTACACTTGTCATTGGGGGCTGCTGAATGCTCATCTCTGAATTGCTAGCAACTAACTGCAGGCTGATATGGTGCTGAAGAGTTTTATTGCCCTGGTAGAGGAAGGGGATGTCATGGAAGGTTTGAGTTAGGCCAGAAAAAGAGAAAAAAACACAAGAAAAATGTGGGAGTCATAAACCGTAACTATGAGACCCGTCCTCACAGAGCTTTGAGGTCAGTGTAGTAAACACTCGGACTATAATACAGGGATTGAAGACTGCCAACATAGGTGTGAAGGATGGGTCCCAGGGTGGGATTGCAGCCTAACTTGGGCCTGGCATTTGGCAAATATAATCAGCAGCACAACTGAAAGCCCAGCCTGGAGGTGTGGCGAGGGTTAGCACGCAGCGTCTGCCACAAAGCGCAAGTGCTCCGAAATCAGCAGGGTGTCATGCTAAAGGGACAGGGCAGTCCGTGCACAGACGCTACATCTGTGCAGAATTTTAACAGACCAAGACCTGGAGGGAGGCACTGAGTATGAGCCAGTTGTGCTGCTGCTCTGGAAGTACAGTGGTACTTTGGTTAAACACGCAATTGCCATTTTTTGTCAGCATCATATTTTCTATGGCAAAAGCTGAAAAGCGGTTGTTTTTCTGAAGCCAGCATGACTATGAATGTGAGTAGCAGGAGTGGTCTTACCCCGTGATCGTGTTCTCTGTCCTCCGCAGCCAGTGTACCATTTCCCGACCCAGCTGGGGATGATGCATCAGCTGAAAGAGCAGCTGGAGGAGAGGACCCGCATACTGCAAGCTGACATCAAGACGCAGCAAGAAGAGCTCCATGTCATCAAGGAGCAGCTCCAGCTAGTGCAGGACTCCAACCTGCAGGTACCCGCTGCCCCCGGGGTTCCCAAACCCACAAACCATTTGCTTTTCCTTTGAGCATGCAGATCAGTGGCAAAAGCATTTAGAAATGAGCTCTGGATAAATTGGTAGTTTGGTCTCAGATGTGGGAGTAGTGTCTCCCAAGAGATGAGTGGCATCAGTATCTGCTTAAGTATTGAATCAGTAATTTTCATGAGTTTTAGAAAAAAACAATCCCAAGCTAATCCAAAGTCCCCCCTGCACAAAAACCTTGGCGGTTTGGTGGCTGGTTAGCGCTGCTGGATCCCCAGTGCCATTCCTGCAAAATGCAACGGGCATAATGGAGCTGGAATGGTCGTGGCTCTGAATAAATACTTGGGTACAAGCTAACATTTGATTTTCTGTTATTCATGGTTCACTTTGCCCCTGGATTGGGAGATGTGGCTGCTGCAGTGTTATATATGTTGGTAGAGACAGCCTGGGAGCCGGAGCCGGTATCTCCCAGGCAGTACAACCACCGTATGAGCTGCGACAACTCATGTGTCTCTTTTATTTAAAGATGTTGATGCAGCAGCCGATCCCCGTCGTCTTTAACAACGTGCAGCACCCAATCCCCAGGAGGCCGCCGCCGCCGCCGGGGACGCCCAGGCAGACCACAGCCAAGAAGTCACAACAGCAAGGCCTTCTGGGGATGAAGCACTACTGTGGCACCCACCTGCCATCACCGCGCCAATTCCTCAGGGATCCCTGCGGCACGGCCGCCCAGGTTGCCGGCTGCTTCATTGTCTTCTTCGTCCTCTTTCCTGGCTTTTTAAATACTTGTCTGCCATGTCCCCCTTCCCCGTGGTCCCGCACATCTCCTCTGTGCTGGTTTTACTGTGTAGCTGGCATTATGAAATTTGTGTCGAGAGTCACTTGCAAATGATGTCATTCAACTGTAAAAATGAAAGCCAGATAGCCTAAAAGCACTAAACCCTGGGGACCGCTGGAGCTGTCCTGGTGACCGGAGAGGAACTGAGCGGGAGGTTTGGGCGCTCATTCGCTTCTGTTTGCGATTGCAACATGGTGGTGGTTTGTAGCCAGTGAGAGCTGTGACTTTGTAACATGGGGAAGCAGGCATCATTTTGAAAGATTAATTTTCTTCTGCCTGAGAAGTCTTGGAAGGCAGCTTTGAAAAACACGTTTGTCAGCACTAGACCTAAATCCACTATAGATGATCGCATCTCTTTGGGAAAGAATTGAGGTGTCCAAAAGCAAAAAAGACCAAAACTACTGCTTTAAAGGACGGGTGAGATGCTTTCCTCGGGGACTTCAGATTTGCACTCCTCCTCCCCTCTGAGGTGCTCTCTTCTCCCTCGAGCCTTGTGTGCCCTTACCCTTGTACTCTGATTTTCCAAGAGACCATCTGCTCCTACCCCTGGGGATCCCAGCACCTGCCGTGCAGGGGCAATAAATGCAAACAGGTTGGTTGTCCTGAATAGTTACACTGTTCCTACTGCTGTGTTCAGGGAGAGCATCCTACTGTTCCTTCTTTTCCCATCTGCGTACTGGAAGCAGTTACTTTAGCGTTCTGCTAGGGAGCTTCAAAAATTTACATGAGTATCTCTCTTCATTTCAGGTGCAGCAGCAGCAGCAGCACCTAATGAGAGGAAACCAAGCCCAGCAAACATGTCTGCTGGGGCAGACGAGCATTTCAGTGCCCCTCTACAACAACCCCATGGTGTTTTCGCAAACGCATCCCATTACAGTGGCTGCACAGATGCCGACTGACGGCGGCGAAAGGCAACCGCAGCCTGACTACGGCCAGGACAGGAGCCTCAGGTAGGAACGCAGCCCTGCTGGCACTGTCCTGAGGGCGGTGATAAAAAAGAGCAATAGCAGGCACATCTGGGCTCAGGGGGTGATGGTCGCTGGGTGCCACAGCAGCGGCGTAGGGATGTTCCCTCCTGCAGAGCTCTGGGTCAGTGGTGGGCCCAGTGGGTGTGCAAGCAGGGTGCTGTGCACACTGTGCCGTACCCTCAGGGGCCTGAAAACCTTTTCTTTCCGTATTTCCGTAAACTGTCCATGTAGCTCAGTAACCTTTGGACATCTGTTGCTGTCAGAGGGACTGAACAGGAAAAACTAGCAGGGACAGCCTTTCCCAAACCTGTGTCTGCTTGCTCTGAAGCTCCAGAGTGTCTTTTCTCTAGCCAGGACAAGTGCCATTGCAAAGCCATTTTTCTTTTATACAACGCTGGAAACGTTGTATAAAACATATACAACTGCCCCAAACTATTCACCCTCCTTTCAGGGAGGTATCTGCAGACACTGCCTCCAGGACCCAGCCATTTCAAAATATTGTGTAAGGAAAAGATAAACCTTAGAGGTCTCACCATCTATAAAATATTTCTTACATGAGAGATTTAGCAAATTTCAGCTCACTTCTGCAAGTGCATTAGACAAGCTGATAATAAGCATCCTATTTCATTAGCTTTTTCAGGGTGATGGTTTGCATGCTTTCAGGGAGGATTTTCAGGGATTCGTTTCTACAGACTGACAGTCAGGAGTCTGGACCTCTCCCTTCCCTGACAGTCCCCTGTTTTTCCTCCACCGCAGGATGCTGTTGGATCAGTCTATCCAAGCCACGATGCCCGCCGCCAACGGCAGTGGCCAGTCCACGCAGAGCAGTGCCAGCAGGCAGCAAGGAAAGTGAGTCTTTGCTGGCCCTTGTTTTCATGCAGTGTTTTAGCAGAGCACTTTATGGCGCTGAAAATTACTTTGAAAAACTTGTACGTGATCACGCAAACACAAACAGTCTCAGTCTTAAAAGAAACAAAAGGTCAGCTGGTTAGGAGAAAAAGTAATGAGAATATTTTTTAATTACAAAGAACTTTATGGTAACTAAAATGCTTTGAAAAAAATATTTTTGACCATTTTCTGGCTTTTGCAAAGCTTAAAACACCTAATCAAGTCATGGAGGAGATGTGCAGCCTTAAAAACCTTAATTGTCTGCGGTTCCAGTCCATGCTTGATGGGGAGGGGGAAATCTGGGGCTTGCTTTCGCCAGGCTCTGCATGGTTTGACAAACCCTGCTCCAGTCTGGTTCCTGCAGCACTTGGGCTCCCCAGGGCTGCTCCGGTGGTGGGTCTGGGTTTGGGTTCTCACACCTTATTTTCCTCCTCGTGGCAGATTCGTTGCAGAGCAGCAGATCTTGCCTCCCCCAGTACAGATGCAACCGATTACCTGTAGCACCATCCGACCTCCAGCCCCGTCGCCCGTTTTCTCCCCGTCTCTGATGATCCCACACACCAGCTTCACGCCCCACCAAACAAACACACCAGTTCATCTCCACCAGTGGCCACAGCAACAGGCTCAGCAGCGCCATCTCTACCTTCAGGTAATGGAGCAGGAAGAGGTTTGTGAGGATGCACAGGGATGGCTTTGGGGTTGGGTTGGTTTTCTGGGGGCTTACCTGGCTAATCAAACCTGGTCAGTGCACTTGCACGTCCTCCATGCCCATTGGATCTGCACATACCCAGGTGCTCAGCCTTTCCAGGCTGCCTCTGCACCCGTTCAAGGCCATATTTTCCAATGAACTCAGTTATCCCCTAGTGTCTAGAAGAAATATCCAATTTTTCAAACACAGCTTGTCATCCAGAGGAGCTCTGGTGGGAACCTTGCTGTAGACGTGAAACATGATAAGGGATAAGCTCTTTTGAAAACATGCCTCCTGCTGTTACGTCTCAGCACAGCAAGGTTTTTTATCAGCTGCCGTCACTGCTTTCTTTTAATAAATGGGTGTTTCACAACACAAATCTCTGGAGAAGTTGATTTTGGTTTTTCAAAGCACAGCTTCATCAGTGCATGCCAAACCAATGACGCTGCCAAGGAGAGGGGTTGTCGAAACTAATAATTAATTAGTAATACACTCTCCAAGACTTGCCTGGTTGGCAGAGGTAAGTACAGTCCTCCAGGCAAAGAGGGTAGAAAACAAAGCAGGAGGCGTAGGTACAGCTGAAAGTAGCCATGCAGCAGGACTGGATTTAGAGTAAGAAATGAATCGTTGTTGTCAGCAAATGTGGACATGAGCCATCCCCACTTTGGGTATGTGTGCTCACGGGCTGCACCAAGGTCCTGAGGACTAGCAATATGGACAGCAGAGCGATGATGCTGGGGGAGATAAATAGCTCCAGGGCAAGAGAAAACCCGACTTTGGTGCCACAGTGCCTTTAACGGGGGGTGAACCAGCAAGTCCACGTCTTTGGAGTGCCAGCCACGGGGTGGTACATAGACAAGGTTTCTCTACAACCTCTTCATTAGTTGCCTGAAGATCCTTTCCATGTTGGACGTCCTGCAGATTTTATCTCGCAACCAAGTAGCTTTTGAATGTCTCCATTCCTG